ACAGAGAATTAGAGGAGAGCACAAGCACGTACACTCTTATTGTTTTAAAAGAATGGGATTTATTACACAGACAAAAGGGGTGGGTTTTTAATTCACAACTAATACCACTTAGGAACACAAAATATTTCATCCCGGGTAAAGATAGTATAGCAGGGAAATGGATTATAAAACAGGAGGCGCAATTGAGAGATATAATGGTAGGAGAGGAAATTGGGTCATATGAGGATATGGAGGAAAGAAAGGGTGAAGTCTTTAATAAGATGGATAGATTAAGATATTACCAACTGAAGAACTTTTTTGAAAGCCTTCCAAAACCTATAAGAACTAGAAAAGACTGGAATCCATTTGAGAGAATTTTTGAGTCACGGGGAAATGGTAGACACGGAACGGCATAAAAAAATACATAAGATATTAATGGAACTTGACACAGACACAAAATTAATGTACATAGAGAAATGGGAAAGAGATATGGGAAGAATAATAGAGGAGGAGGAGGAGAAGAAGAAGATGTTCACATTAATTCACGAAAATATTAGCATGAGAGAAGTGGAAATAAATTATAAATGTTTGAATAGATGGCACATTACCCCTTACCTGGAGCACAAGATGAATACGGAAATTTCACAGATGTGTTGGAGAGATTGTGGAGAGGTGGGCACGTGGTATCATATGTGGTGGGAGTGTCCAGAAATACAGGTGTTCTGGCGAAGGATAGTTTACTTGATAAGGAAGATTACTAAAATTAACATAGGATTAGACCCAGAATTATGCCTCCTCCATATCTCAGAACTCCCAGTCAAAGTATATAAGAGGTCAGGGATATGGTACTACTTAACCGCAGCAAAGAGTTTGATACCCAGAGGTACTGGAAGAAAAGAGAGGTGCCAACTGAGGAAGACTGGATGGGTAGAGTAAACCAGATTTCTGGGACAGAAAGATTGTATTATACGCACGAGGATAAGTTGGAGAGGTACAATAAAAAATGGAAAGGATGGGGAGAATATAAAGAAATGGCGAAAAAGGTGAAGAGATAAGGTCCTGGGTAGTTGGTTTAGAATTGGATTTAGGAATAACAGAATCATATGGAGTAAATGAGAGAAGAGAGAATATGGAGCGTGGGAAGGTGAGGGAGGGAAGGGAGGGGACGGGGAGAAGGAGGGGCGGGTATACGGGGGGAGGGGGGATGGTATGAAAAGAAAGTTATATATAGGAATAAATTTTATAAGGAGAAAATATGTTTCTGATAAATATTTTAATAGATATATTGAAATGACTTGTATATGATTTAAAAATTAATAAATATTTATAAAAAAAAAAAAAAAAAAATAGCCAGGAGCTCCCGATCTCCAATATCGTAATTTCTTTCCGCCGGCGTCAACTTCCTGGAGAAGAACGCCACAGGATGCAGTAGCTCCTTGGTACCATTCCTTTGGAACAGAACCGCTCCTACCGCGTTTTCGGAGGCGTCCACTTCCAAAACATATGGGAGCAAAGAATCCGGATGGCAGAGAATGGGAGCAGAGGTAAACAATTTCTTGAGCGTTTTTCGAACGCCGTCTGAGCTTCGGGAGTCCACTTAAAGCGGATCCCTTGTTTAGTCAGTTGCGCGATTGGGGAGACCAGACCGGAGAAGTTCCTAACAAACTTTCTATAAAAGTTTGAAAACCCAATGAACCGCTGTACCCCCTTCTTATCGGCGGGTATTGGCCAATCTAGGATAGCCGTGACTTTCTGGGGATCCATCGTGACCCCCGCGGGAGAGAAGACCAGTCCCAAGAAAGTAATTTTGCGCTGTTCGAAACAGCATTTTTCTGCCTTGGCGTATAGTACGTGTTGACGTAACCGTTCCAACACCCGTAACACGTGACTTCGATGAACCTCCAGTGAGGGAGAGAAAATTAGGATGTCATCCAAATAGACAACCACGAAAACATCGAGGAAGTCCCGAAAAAACGTTGTTGATAAAATGTTGGAAGGTTGTCGGGGCGTTACAGAGCCCGAACGGCATCACCAAATACTCAAAGTGACCGTATCTCGTACGAAAAGCCGTCTTCCACTCATCCCCCTCCTTGATACATACAAGGTTATATGCCCCCCGCAGGTCTAATTTAGTAAAAATCATTGCTGACCTCAATCTCTGGAGGAGCTCGGGGACTAGGGGTAATGGATAGCGATTTTTTACCGTGATCTTATTCAGATCACGGTAGTCTATGCAGGGCCGCAATGATTTGTCCTTTTTTTCTACAAAGAACAACCCGGCCCCGGCTGGGGATGTGGACGGGCGAATAAATCCTTTCTGAAGGTTTTCGTCAATATACTCCCTCAGTACTCCCGACTCCAATTCCGATAGAGGAAAGATACGGCCAAACGAGATTTCAGATCTGGGTAGGAGGTCTATGGGGCAATCGTATGAACGGTGCGGGGGAAGAATGTCTGCTCCTCGCTTACTGAATACGTCTAAGAAGTCATGGTAGGCCGGTGGAATAACCTGAGACAGATCGGTATCACCATCCAAGCACAGAAGAAACCGGGGAGCCACGGACCCTGTGACGTGGCAGTGACTCAGACAGTATGGTGACCGAAATTGAACTGTTCACTTCTCCCAATCAATCTGGGGGTTATGGGCCCGCAGCCAAGGGAACCCCAGAATGATTGGAAAAAGGGGGGATGCAATGGCATCCAGACGGAGGAACTCTTGGTGATGGTCTGCCATCATGGTAAAAATAGGAGGTGTCTCCTGGTCCACCACCCCTGATTTTATGCTAGACCCATCTGCCAAGAAGATGTTTAAACCCCTTTCTTTGGTCTGGAGAGGGATCTTTTGCCGGTGAGCAAAAGTAAGATCGATGAAACAACTACATGCTCCCGAGTCAACGATTGCGGTCACCGACAAGGTTCCTCCAGGGAGCTGTAAAGACACAGGTATCGCCAGGTAACTAGACAGATCACCCTCTTCTGCAGGTAAGGGAAAAGAAAAGGAAGCGGACTTACTCATTTTTGCAGGACAGGAGCGCACCTGGTGACCAGCTTCCCCGCAGTACAGACATAGGTTCTGCGATCGTCTCCTCTGACGTTCCTCGACTGATAAAGTGGAACGGGCCAGTCCCAGTTGCATGGGTTCCAAAGTGTCCCCTGGTTCCGTGCTTCGGGTATGGTTCCCTGGGGCTGGAGCTGTTTCCCTCAGTGGAATCCATGCCACCCTTTGACCCTGGCTGCTCCTTTCCAGCCGATGTTCCCTCAGTCTGCGGTCAATTTGAATGGCCAACTCTATCAGTTTCTCAAGGGAGTCAGGTAGGCCTACTCATGCCAACTCATCTTTGAGGGACTCAGACAGCCCGATGCGGAACTGGTGACATGGTGCCGCATCGTTCCATCTGGTATCTCCCATCCAACGCCTAAAATCGGACGCGTATTCTTCGGCTGCCCGGCGGCCTTGCCGTAGGGAGTATAGGGTAGCCTCTGCAGAAGCAGCCCGCTGAGGGTCATCGTATAATACGGCCATGGCCTGAAAAAACTCAGTCACGGAATCAAGATGGGGGTCGTGCTTCTCCATCAGACGGTGAGCCCAATCCTGGGGCTCATCCTGAAGGAGAGAGACTATAAACCCCACCTTGACGGTCTCGGTGGTGAACGTGCGGGGCTGCAAGTCAAAAAACAGGGTGCAGGCGTTCCGGAAGGCTCGGAAGCGGCTTCGGTCTCCACAGAATCGTTCTGGCAGGGGAACGCGGGGTTCAGGAGCTAGGGACGCAGCAGCTGCTCCGGATGCCGGGGTAATGGGTGATTCCGCAGTTGGGGGACTCTGAGCAGGGAGAGTCAGGGTGGCTAAAGACTCCATGCGGTCCTCCAGTCGGGTGCAGCGGCTGTGGAAATTCTGGACAGCCTGGGTCAGAGTTGCCAGGTGCTGACATATATCCTCTAGGGACACCGGTCCCTCTTCCTGGCTCTGTCATGGCCGCAAGGTACTGTTATGATCGCCAGGTGGTGCCTCAGGCTGCCCACTTGACAGACCTACCCAGAGCGTGGAGTCTAAGCCCCGGTCTGTGCTTTCACCAGGGCCCCTGATGGTGGGGATGGACTTGTAACAGACCAGGGCCAGGTCACGACCTCCGAGCAGGCGCACCAGTGGCAGAGGGAGCCTCCGGGGATGTATGCAAGTACCGGGAGAGCCAGATGTGAGAAGGACGGCGGACCTAGCAGAAACTTCAGGATCACAGATAGACCTTGCGGCAATTTAGGACAGTGCAGGGCATCTTTAAATAGTGCGCCCTGCACTGTCATTTGGCCGGCCAGGATGCGCCCCGGGGCTGTCATTGGCCGCCCGAGGCACGCCCGCGGCTCCTACTGTGCATGCGCGGCGTCCTGTCAGCTGCGGACCTAGTGCCTGTGTCCCGGCGTGAGCTGTTGCAAGTGCGCGTGCGCCGGGAGATGCGCCGCAATTCCTGACACCTATGCTCCCCAACCAATCTCAGGACAAGATGTTACATGGGGTGTAAAGCAAACTTAGTCTGGGTCCAGTTAGTGAAGCATAATGATAGTCCAAACAACAGAAGGCCTTCTTTATTCTCCCAACTTTTCTGTGTCTCTAGCATTCCTTGGCAGGCTTACTGTGTGTAAGTTGTGTCCTGGTGTCACGCCTGGTGTCCTGGATATTTACACACTTCTTGTATAGTGTGTGTCAATGAAGTAGCACAGGGAACATATTTGTGGAACAGCTAAAACTATTTGCAGGACAGACCACCAGGTGAAAACAGCAGAAAGACCAAAGAGTCTCACCACCAATGCCTCTGGAAGGGTCACCTTTTAGTTTTCTTTCTGAAGTGCTGCTTTTTTAGTGTTCGCTATTTGGAATTATTGGTAGCCATACTCAGAAAAGCCCCTGTGTTGGATTCCCTACATGACCAAGCCACCATTATTACCCCAAACACCTTGTTGACAATTTGAAAGACACGTTCTGCTACTTTCCAAATAATGTTTATTACAAAAAACATACAAAATTAATGGGGAGGAGAAGGCGGCTGCTGCAGAGGGGGTGGGTGTGAGGGTTGGGTAGGTACAGTGTGTGGAGGGGCTGGGAAAGAGTGGTGGGGAGGGGAGTGCAGGGGGAGAGGTTGAATGGGGGGAATTGAAGACAGGGAGAATTTGGGGCGGGGCATTTGAGGGCTGAGGAGAGTGGGCAGGACGTGGAAGGTAAGGGTGGAAACGGGATTGAGAGGAGGGGCGTGTAGAAACAAGGGGAGTGGGTGTGAAAGTGGGGGTGTGGTCAAGGGGAGTGTGAGGAAGGTGCAGAAGAGGGATCCATGGGGAAGGAGGCATACTGGTCTTCGGTGGGGTTTCTTGAGGGGGCTGCTCCAGAGTGGGTAGTTCCAGAATTGGCACCTCCAAAGCTTGTTCCCCTGCTGCTTCCCGGGAACTTTCTACAGGGCAACTCTGTGGCAACCTTGACATTGGCCCCAAACTACTACTGCACAGGGGTTAGAAGCCTCTGGCCGAAGGTGCATTTTGGTCAGCCCCTGCTTGACATAAGGCCCGGATATCATGACTAAGGTCCTGCAACACTGTAGTCTGATCCCTGACCGCGCGGTGACAAGTCCAAGCAGGGTTTCATGTTGGAGCACCAGTAACCTTTCTATATTACTGGATGCATTAGAAAGCCTCCTTTGCTCCCATAATCTCTCCATGTTGAACACCAGCCTTTCCCCAAGCGTGAGAAGGGGGCTGGGTCCAGGTGGACGGGGTGCCGATCCAGCCGCATCCAATGTTGGCTGCAAGGAGAAAAACAAAAAAATGAAAGAGTGTTTAACACACAGCACAAGTGTACAGTAGGACAGGGGCCTCGTCTGACACCAAACACTAGCTCATGTTCTTGTCCCACCCCTAGGACCAGGTATTGGTGAATGCCTTTCCCTGACACATTACACTGGATGAACATTTGACTGAAATGAATGGTTTGGCATCTTTACCCAGACTGATACCTTCCTGCTGATTTGTCACATGCACATCACTCCCTCCAGCTCCTGACTAAGCAAGGATCCGAAAAAAGTAAGTTACACATCACGTTGCCAAATCCTGCCCAGCCAGGAACGGAGTTATACTCTAAATGGGTGACTCATTAGGGAGAACATCTTTAGCATCTCTTACCGGATGTTCAGGCAACTCAGGTGGAGGTGACGGCATTTCATGCAAGTTTGGAGTGCCTGAACTTCCCTGCACCACAAAACAAAAAAAACAATGCATGACATTTCCCAAATACACATGCAACATGCATTTGTACATCCCCCACCCCATTACAGCAGTTCCCGTACCCCAACATCAGATGCAGATTCTTCTCCCACTCCAACAGCTGGGGCCTCCAGGGGCAAAAGATGATCTGCAAATAGAGTTCAAGATGCTGATTAGTAACAGATACTAGTTAGGCTGTATGTATGATGTGACATTTGTGACCAAGGTTTGAGGGATTGCTCATTGGTATGTTCTTCACCCAAGTTTATCCAGACAAATAGGACACTGGCAGCCACAGCCCAGGAGACTGGTAGGGAGTAGAAAGAGGCATGGTAAGGCTCAGGAGCAGGGGCCACAAGAATGAGGGGCCACCTTTCCTGCCAAACAAGGAGGCAGATGTGTTAGGATGGCTCCATTATGCCCATAAGCTACTGCAGCCATTTTGACCATGGGCTTCAAACATTAAAGCAAAAGATATAACATTTGTCATTAAGGCAACATTTCAAAAAGGATTCAATAGGTTATAGAAGGGTCACCCAGGGAAAAAAAGGGGTCGGATCAAATCTAAATGTTCCCCAAAATATTTCCAAAACCAAATGCATGTAAATGCACCCAAAGGAATTGTTGATAGAACTGTGGATCTGAGGAGATCAAGAGCAATGCATCCAAAACTCCTTTAATCACTTTTAAACCGCAGACCTCCTGCAAACTCAATGTGAAAAAGAAAATAATGAACTCATGTGGCAATCTCAGAGTATCCAAAAACATTAAACAGCCTTTCCAGATGATTGGAAGCTGAGCTACAAAGGGCGGGGCCAACTCAATATTGAACCCTACGGACTAGGACTGGGATGCCATTCAAGTTCATGTGTGCGGAAAGGAAGTCATCCCAGCAGTGTTGGCAATATAGTGTATTTGTCAATGAACAATAGATTAGTCTTTATGATGCCTTTTGGGCTTTAGATGACTTAAATTCCAAGATTCTCGGTGGATAAGTATGTATTTGATTTGGCCTCTACATTTTGAGCAAAGGCAAAATGGTCGCTGTCACTTGGAACTTCACGATTGGGTGAGTAGCTACATTTCTTGATGTTGACCTCAAGTTTTCCTATGCTGAAGTCCCAGATCACATGATGAAACAAGTCAGGAGAGGGGCCCACTAGACATCACTGCCAGCAGTGTCAGCACAGCTTTTATAACCACTTGCCTACCGGGCACTTAGACTCCCTTCCTGCCCCGGACAATTTTCACCTTTCAGCGCTGTCACACTTTGAATGACAATTGTGGTCATGCAACACTGTACCCATATGACATTTTTATCATTTTCTTCACACAATAGTGGTTTCATCTGGTGGTATTTAATCTCTGATGGGTGGTTTGTTTTTTGTGCTATAAACAAAAAAAAGAGCTAAAAATTTTAAATCAAAAAATGTTTGTCTTTGTTTCTCTTTTTCAAACAGGTAATTTTTCTCCTTCACTGATGTGTGTCGATGAGGCTGCACTGATAGACAGCACTGATGAGGTGGCAGAGATAGGCAGCACTGATGAGGTGGCAGCAGAGCACTGATAGGCAGAGCACTGATGGGCACTGATGAGGTGGCACTGATAGACAGCACTGACTGGCAGCACTGCTGGGCTCTGATCATCAGGTCAATGATAATCAGTGAGCTGGTGATCGGTGCCGATCCGTCCTCTGCCAATTGTCGGTTATCTGCAGTACTTTCCTCCCACTGTGACAGCATGAGGAAAGTGCAGCCGATAACCGGCCACTGCATTTACCGGTGATCTGCCGTGATCACGTGGTAAAAGGCCGCTGTGATTGGCCTTTTACCACATCATGTGATCAGCTGTGTCCGTAAGACACAGCGACCCCTGAGATGGCTGGGTGTGTGCCCCCAGGGGCGTGTGGGAGGGCATGTTCTGGGAGGACGTCATTTGATGCCCTCCCCAGACCGTAGCCAAATGACAGCTACAGTGCAGGTGACAAGTGGTTAAACACTACTCTGGAAATCAGCATCCTTAAGGGGCCAATAAACTCATTGAATGGAAATGTAAACAATCATGAGCTCTTTTGGTCTTTACTTTTAAAAAGGATTTGCTTAGAGACCTGCGGCCTTAAAATGAGACTTACTGATTCCAAGTGAAGTGGAGGAATGTTGCCAGTTCTGCCACCATAGTGGTGACCAAAGTGTGTTTGACCTTCCCTTTGTGTGGCTCAAACCTGAAGGTGAACGGTACGATTGGGAGGTGATGGGTCCCTGTAGTGGATCATTTCCTGTATATTGAGCAGGCATGATATATGATGTCACTAAACACCAAACACATTGGATATTCTGGGACTGTCAGAGTTGAGCATGTTGACATTGGTCAGATTACATGTATGTGGAATGTTTTATGTGTCTGAGAGAACTTGTGAAGTTGTGAGGACGAGTCTGATTTGGAACGCTCAGGAGATGTCAGCTAGTTAGTGATGTTTGGAACTTTATTGCTCTCATCAGTTAGTTCCCCCATTTGGTTTGGTGGGGTTACCTGCTTTTCTTGATCCGGGGAAACTGGTCCCAGGACATTTGGCAGGGATTAGACACATTTCTGTGTGGTAACAGTTTTTCACATTGATTTCTCTAGGGTTTTGAGTGCAATACAGTGAGGAACCCCAGAAATGCAGCGTGTTGTGGAGATATATTTGTGTTCACACAGAGTTTAGCATTGGTTTGTTCTGCATTCCTAAGAGGATGCTCATTGGCTGATCCTGAGTGATTATGATTGTTGTAGACAAGCACATTAATACATACCCAGATCTTCCTCCATTCCTGACTGCAGTGGGGGGAGCCGCTCCTCCTCCTCCTCCTGATGTTGTGCTGTGAATAGGACATTGACATGTGAGATGTTTGATGTTCTAGCAGCCTGTTCAACATTACGGGGTGCATTCCCAATGAGTGCTTACCAGGAGGGAACACCTCTGGATCAGTGTATGTGTGATCTTCTGGCTTGTCCTCTGATGGCTGGCTGGGGCTGCTGGGGCTGCTACAACACAAGACAAAATGAACAACAAATGTTAAATGTTAAAAAGATAACACAACTTTGAAGACACAATATGGACATGTGTAGTGTACTTACCACTGTGGCAATCATCAGTATCTCCATGAGCCTTCTCCCCAAAAATCGTGTTGAGGCTGATGATTGGGAGAAGTGCCCGTTCTGTCTGAGACAGGACCTGCAGATGGTCAGGGTCCACCCCCTTGCCTTGTAACATGCCCTGCTGAGCCCACAGAGTCAGCTTCTCCTTTAATCTCCGCCTCAGATCACGCATACGCTTCTTCACGTTCTTGAGGTTCCGGCGTAACATCCTGCCCACTGCATTTACGGCCACCGTGATTTCCTTCCACAGACGGTCCTTTGCAGCCTGACCACTGCGGGAGGGCCTGTGCCCCGAGATGCATTCAGCCCGTTCTACATAAGCAACCACCAGGGCCCAGGTCTCATCGCGGGAGAAGGGTGGAAACTTGGGCTTGGACCGGGACCTTCTGCCTGCCCTTGATGTCCCTTCTCCTGGGCTCAAAGGGGAGGCATCAGACCCAGGGGAGGTACTCAGCTCAGCTTCTGCCTCTTCTCTGAAGGAAGCCTGGCCCCTTCTGCCACCAGCTTGTGACCTTCTCATATCATAGCCAGACCTCCGGCCCTCCATGCCCCCCCTGGCCCTAGTGGACCCCTGGGCCCTAGTAGCCCCCCTGGCATCATGGCCAGTGGGGGGCCTAGTATCCCCCCTGGCACCATGACCCCCCCTGGAACCCTGGACTCTTTGCCTCCTTGGGGGTGCCATGGAAGGACAAGTGGGCAGTGAGTCTGACTAGGTGCTGTTTGCAGCAGAAGCAGCAGGTCCTAAGTGGTGGGATGTCCGTGTGTTAGTGTGAAAATCTGCAACAGAAAAAAGGGACATAAGGGCAAGGGTCAGTTGTCTGGGCTCCAAAGACAGCACATGCCCTGGAGGAAGGGCCACACTTACCAAAAGAAACAACTGGCCCTCTTGGCCCAAGGGGGGGCAGATACGTCAAAATCCTGCAATGAGAAAAAAGACAGAAGGGCAATAGGTGTCTGGCTCCAACTACAGCACATGCCCTGGCGGGGGCCACACTTACCAAGACAACCAAATGGCTCTCTTGGCCTGGGATGGAGGGGGGGGGGCAAAGTATTACAAAATCTGCAATGGGGAAAAGGACATAAGACCAAAGGTCAGGTCTATGGCCTCCAGAGAAAGCCCAGGGCCTGCTTGAGGGGGACCCCAAAGCCAAGTAAAAAATGCCAAACACAACCAACGTGGGAGGTGATACATTAACAGGTCTAGAGGAAGAAATACTAGGTTTGGCCAGACAAACGCCACATTAAGATAATTAGAATATGGACAGAGCCACAAAAAAATCAATCAACCAATCAATGTGCAAATTAATATGCAAATGTGAAAAGCAGCTCACCTAACCCTTAACCAGGTGTGCATATAAATAAAAAAAAAGGCAGCGCTCCTTCTTACTAGATGACCACAGTGTTTAACCAATCATATGTTAAAATCAATAAGAATAAAATAATCAAAAAATATTCAAAAAATAAATATTCCCCAACAAAAAGTGTCCTTATATGACTTTTTTAATAAACTCAGAGTTGTGAAAAAAAATTTTTTTTTATAAAATGTCGGCCAGTGGCGTACCTTTCCAAACTGGACACTAGCTCAAGGTTGGCCACCTTGGCTGTGGGCTATCTCAGCAACAGCCCTCTTGGTGGCCGAAGCTGACAAGTTGTCACTGGGTCAAGAGATCTATGTCAGGAGTTCCACACCACATTCAGGCATTGATGGATTATAAGGGAAATCACTGGTTTACTAACAGCTGGATGGTCAAATACCAGGCCATGCTGTGTGACAATCCTCAAATCCATTTAGAGACTAACACTCTGAACCCCGCCACCCTGCTCCCCACCTCAAAAGAACCCCTAATACATGACTGCCTCCAGGTAATGGATGAAGTCTATGCTAGACTTGAGAGACAGTCCCCCTTGGGAAAGCCAGATGTTGAATATTACATTGATAGCAGCAGTTTCGTAAAGGATGGAATCCGCTATGCCGGTTATTCAGTGGTCACACAGGAAACGGTGATTGAGGCAACAGCCCTACCACAGGGGACCTCTGCACAAAAAGTGGAATTAATTGCCCTGACCTGAGTGTTACAAACTAGCTGCAGGCCTAAGACTGAATGATTATGTGGGCTCTAAGTATGTCTTCCTGACTCTTCATGCTCATGGAGCCCTGTACAAGGAAAGAGGACTCATCACATCCAGGGAAAAGAGCATCAAGTATGGGACAGAAATACTAGAACTTTGGAAGCAGTATGGGCCCCCTCGGAAGTTGCAGTAATACACTGTAGGGGTCATCAAAAAGGAGACTCCCAGGTGGCCAAAGGCAACAGAAAAGCAGATCAAGCAGCCAAAGAGGCAGCACTTCAGCGGTCCCCACAACAGATTATGGCCCCTCTGTTCTCAGTACCACTCTCTGAATGGGACCCAATCTATACAAAGGCAGAACAAGAATGGATAGAGACTGAACCTGGAAAGTACAGGAAGACTGGTGGTATCAACTGCAGGATGGAAGAATTGTCATTCCAGCTACTGTAGCAACTGAATTAGTGACAGAATTCTACAAGGGAACACACACAGGCAAAACAGCCATTGAAAAGGCCCTAGAGAGATATTTTTACATTCCCTGTCTATACACGCAATCACAAGCAGCAGCCAGTAGATGTGTGGAATGAACCAGAAACAATCCAAGACAAGGGCCTGTACCAACTCCAGAGTACAAGCAGTAGGACCTCACCAATGGAAGAATTAATGGTCAACTTCACTGTTATGCCCCCTTCAGGAGGATATAAATATCTGCTGGTGGCCGTCTGCACCTATTCAGGCTGGGTGGAAGCCTGGCCTATACGAACTGAAACTACCAGAGAAGTGGTCAAATGCCTAATACAGGAAATTATCCCTAGATATGAAGATCCCTCCTCCATAGGCTCAGACAATGGTTCTGACTTTGTTCACAAGTGCCTTCAGATATTTGCAGCCATACTCAAGACCACTTGGAGACTACACACCGTATACAGGCCTCAAAGATCTGGAAAAGTGGAAAGAATGAACCGCACCCTAAAGTTACAACTGGCAAAACTCTGTCAGGAAACCCAAATGAAGTGGACCTTGATGCTGCCCATTGCCTTGTTGAGAATCTGGAGTACTACAACAAGAGGACAAATTTGTCCCCTTTTGAAGTACTATATGGTAGGCCCCCACCCATCATTGGAGGTATCAAGGGAGACTTACACCAGATAGGAAGGGTGGTGAACCATGAACTGTTACAGAAGTTTGGGGGAGAACATGCAGGATATAGAGAAGTGGGTTCAAGAGAAACTCCCCATACGCCTGTCCAACCCCGTCCATCCCTTTGCACCAGGAGATGCAGTGTGGGTAAAGGAGTGGAGCGTAATCCCTTTAGGGCCCAGATGGAGGTCCTTACACTGTTCTGCTATCCACTCCCACAGCCATCAAGGTGGCCAAGGTGACCCCCTGGATACATCACTCCAGAGCAAAGCGAGCTGCTCAGCCAGGAATCTGTGGGATCACTACAGATTCCTGGCTGAGTAAAGCAGACCCTCAAGACCCCTTAAAGCTGAAGCTGACCAAAGAGATCAGAAGGAAGGACTCCAGCCCTGCTCTCAGCACATACCTGGAAGCTGTTGAGTCTACGCATGGTGGAAGAAAAGGTTACATCTGACCAGAAGGAAGAATTCCAGCTCTGCTCCAGTCACACCTGGAAGCTGACTGGCCAATGCACAGCACAAGATGGGAATATACACCGATAGGATGCCTGATAAAAATGTTTTAATAAAATGCTGGTAGCCATAGTAATAACCCTGACTAGAACGAGAGGGGGGAGGGCAGATCATGTGACCCATGTATCGAGACTACAAGAGTAGGATCAGTAACCTAGAATGTTACTATGGCATTCTCATTATCAAGGTGAGGGAACAATGACTGACACTTGTGTACATAATGAAACAACGTATTCAATGTGCACTGTAGGGAACCAGGTAACCTGTTATGACCCCACCTATAGACCCACTAAAACCTGGGTGACCATATGGAGATACAGCTCCACAGGCAAGCTGATAAACCAATGCTACCCTGATAACCAATCCCAAAAGGTTGCTGCTGCGAGCCGGATCTTTGATGTTATGCTCTGCTATTAACCTAAACTATTCCCACAATAGCATCAAAGAGGGGAATGTGGTAGCACCCAGATATGCATCAAAGGGGGGAATGTGGTAGCACAGATAGGAGATGTTCCCCTTTAAACTGTAACATTTTCTCCAAACAGTATCTGCTTGCAAGTCAGAAGTGGTGTCGCGCTTCACTACCAATTGCAAAAATGTGAATATTAAATTGCAAAAAAATATTAAATAAATAACAGTCCAGCTTTCAAAGTGTGTATAATATGCACTCTTTTGAAGCTGGACTATTATTTATTTACATTTTTGCAATTGGTAGTGGAGCGCGACACCACTTCTGACTTTATTTTCTATGACACAATGGTATGAGGATGTGTATAGTGTAAGCGAACCACTCATTTTCACATATTTCTTTACACAATTTTTATGATAATCTCATTATTGTATCGATTTTACCACACAGTATTGGTAATATTTCAATATTTTAGCATACACCATAGTAGCTCACAAGACCCCACACTTCAGTATCTGCTTGCAAGGTTTTTGGCTCATAGTCCCTCCTCACTTATTTCCTGTGAATACTGTGTACCGGCTCGTAGCTGGTATTCTTATCTGCAGCTGCTGTCCAAGGTTATTCTGCAGAGTTTAGGAACCCTGTTGAAAATATAGGAAGTGAAAGAGGAATGTACCGTAGTTTTCGCACCATAAGACGCACTTTTTTTCCCCCCCAAAAAGGGGGGAAAATGTCAGTGCGTCTTATGGAGCGAATATAAAGCGGCCGGTCCGGTATTTTTGCGGCCACCATGTCAGAATACCGGGCCGGCCGCTCAGCTGTTGTCTCCTGCAGGGCCTTACCTGTTCCTCGCTCCAGCGCTGCACAGTCTTCCCGCGCTGGCTTCTGTGACAGCCGGGTGCCCACTGCGCATGTGCTGGGCTTTGTGAATGATCGGGTGTCTTCTGGGGACACATCAAAGGTCCCAGAAGGCTCCGGGCCATTCACAAAGCGAAGCGCTTCTCGCACCTGCGCAGTGGGCACCCGGCTGTCACAGAAGCCGGCCCGGGAAGAAGAGGGAAGGCAGCTCCACGGAAGTGGGAGCGGGTACCTGTCAAATTCAGGTACCCGCTCCCCCTCCCTCCCCAAAGGTCAGCAGTCTCTGGTCCTCCCCTTCACTGTCTGCAGTCTCTGGTCATTCCCTGCACTGTCCACAGTCTCTGGTCATCTCCTGTACTGTGTCCGCAGTCTCTGGTCATCTCCTGTACTGTGTCCGCAGTCTCTGGTCATCCCCTGTACTGTCCGCAGTCTCTGGTCATCCCCTGTACTGTCCGCAGTCTCTGGTCATCCCCTGCACTGTCCGCAGTCTCTGGTCATCCCCTGCACTGTCCGCAGTCTCTGGTCATCCCCTGCACTGTCCGCAGTCTCTGGTCATCCCCTGTACTGTCCGCAGTCTCTGGTCATCCCCTGTACTGTCCGCAGTCTCTGGTCATCCCCTGCACTGTGTCCGCAGTCTCTGGTCATCTCCTGTACTGTGTCCGCAGTCTCTGGTCATCTCCTGTACTGTTCGCAGTCTCTGGTCATCTCCTGCACTGTGTCCGCAGTCTCTGGTCATCTCCTGCACTATGTCCGCAGTCTCCGGTCATCCCCTGTACTTTGTCTGCAGTCTC